TTTACCTTTAAATTTTTGTATGACTTAGGGTATAGGTCCATCGTAGCATGCCTGTCTGATATTTGTAGGATCCTTAGTTTGATTTCTAGCACCAAAAACATTAATAAATGCAATATGAAAATCAGCTCCAAATAGGTGACCTGGTCTCTCTGTAGTGCAAAACAATGTTCACAAAGAAGTCAGGGTGAAATTATAGATTTTATCAAGTATTTGTAACCAACTCTCTCCTGCGTAGGACAGCTCAATAGCCCTGCAGAGAGGCATGACTAGACTCTGTCTTTTCCTCCAGAATGTTGGGATTAAAGATGTGTGCCACCACTAGTCAGCTATACTATACTTTTAAATTAATAAAACCAATTATTTTCCTTTGTAGCGATGTAACTCTCTTGACCCTGCTAAATCTAAGAAAATGTGATACAGCCATTCTAATAAATACAAGAAAAAATTAGCAATGTCCTAAAAAAATAGGCATGGATCCCATGTAAGCGTACCACAGGACACAAGATAGGTGATCAAGTTCACAGGAACCCTTTGGTTTCTATACCTCCATACATATCACTTTCAATAAAATTTAAAAAGGACTTTATTTGTCTTCTCTGTTGAGCATTAAGAAGCAGTTTCTTTTATGGCTAAAGGACATTTGCAGGATTGCAAAGGCTCAGTTGTTAACCTGAACACTTTCTTTGCACAGTCAGAGGGCAATTGCTCATAAAAATAGGGCTGGGCTGCACAGCTTAGCATGTCTACTGTGAACAGCAGTAGTTACTTCTGAAGAGAAATCTAAAGTCTTTTAGAATGAATTCGTACACAGAGTGCTATCCCATTTAGAGTAGAGGAGATTAGGGTAACCTGAGATTGTTTAAAGTTATCTGTTCATAGTGATTTAATATATTGTGCACAGAGAAAGTAAAATATGCATGTTACACACATTTGAGTAAGAGGGAACCCTGTGGGCACCTGGTCAACCCAAGGCACTTCTTATCTGTTATGAGCAGTGTTTCCTGCTCCCTAATGAAAGCTTTCTTCAGCAACAGATTCTGCCGGCTTTGTTGAGAATTTCCAGACTGTCACCTGTCCTGCCTGAGATTTACCCTGCCATTTAATTTTAATTCTTTGACAAAGAACATGAGCCTGATCTGGACCCCTAGATCATAACATAGATAGGAGACTCCTTTGCAAGCACACGTGAGTCTTCAGGCTTTCTTCGAGGGAATAATATCATACACGTTTTTCTAAATAGCAAGTATTAAAAGTCTGATACCTTGAGAGTGGCATATTGGAATGCTTTCTTATAATATAACCAGAACACACACTTTTTTATAACTATACTGAAGTGTAACCAGCAGTCCTTACACAACGGGATTATGATTAGATCAGAATCCCACAGCAGAAGCCAGAATTTGAATACTAGTTCTTCAATCTACTAAAATGAGTAACTTAAGCTAAGCTCCCCGATTTCTTTGGATAACCTCACTGCATCTGCCTCTCAGAGCCCCTGGGGATGCTTTACAGGCGTCAACCTTGAGAAGCGATAACAGCTGGCATCATTGTTACTGATAATAATAATAATAATGTTTGATGGTGGTTTAATTGATATCTTTCTTTGGCTTCCTCCCAAATATGGTTACCAGATAAGTAAGCCAAAGGTGGAAATTGTACCTATCACCAAGGACATTATCAAATCTGACCCATAAAACTTGTTCAAAATTATGTATTACTTCTGGGACTACAGAAATATTTCAGTTGATAAAGTGCTTACCTTATGAGCACAGAGTCTGAGTTTGATCCCCAAGCACCCATCTTCAAATAAGTTATTATGATGCACACTTCTGATCCTAGCACCAAGGAGACCGAGAGAAGGCAGAAACCTGGTACTTAGTGGCTGGCCAGGCTAGTCTACTTGATGATTTCCAGGCCAGTGAGAGATACTCTGTCTCAAAAGGAAAATGGATGGCAACTGAAGAACTGCCATAAAACTTGTCCTGTGGCTTCCACATGCACAAACATGCATGAGCACTCACACACGCACACATACTAATTTGTATACACACACACAGACACATACACACACACAAAAAAAACTGTACATAACTTATAAGGAGTATAATTTTTTTCTAAAACATCATTTTTTTTTTCCTTTTTGGAGCTGAGGATTGAACCCAGAGCCTTGCGCCTGTTAGGCAAGTACTCTACCACTGAGCTAAATCCTCAACTCCCTAAAGCATCATTTCAAGCAAACTGTGTGCTATTCTGTTGGGTATAGGATGTTCTCATAGACACGGCATGAATTCTGTTCAGTCACTAAGCACTGAGCTACCCTGTAGCAGGCACTTGGCCACGTCACGAAAGCCATATCATGTCCTCCTCAGAATGTCTATGAAGTAGACAGCATTGTCACCATCTTGTAGCTTAATAAAGTGACACTCACAGAGATTTTCCAGCAGCTACTAAGTGGCTAACTACACATGAACTAGGTCTGCCTGGCTGCTCGGTATAAACCATTTCTCCACTTCTGTACACTCTCCTTAGGATTGTAAGGATCCCCATTAGGAACAGCTGGTCAGAATCTGTGGAGTCTGAAGTTTAAAAAAATCTAATCATTAGGAGTATGTTGTTCACCAATGCAGTTTAAAATGCCAAGAATAAGTATTTCAGGATAAGAACTTTAAATACACACAATTTACTAAGTTCTATACTGGTCTTAACAAGATAACCTATTCGTTAATTAAAATATAATTATCATATCTTTAAAATTCGTGTAATTTGCATTTTAAGATATGTTAAGATGAATGATTAATGTGACTTAAGCTTAATTTCTCCAGTTAACTATTTTACTGAAAAAACTCTACTAAATAGAATTGACTTAAAACTCCAGTAACCCAAAGTAGTAGTCTGTGTAGTGTGTGTGTGTGTGTGTGTGTGTGTGTGAATACATATGTGTGTGCAGGAATGAGAAATGTGTGTGTGTGTGTGTGTGTGTGTGTGTGTG